GGTTCGCAAACTCCTCCATCCAGTGCGGGCTGCTGTGCTGGGGAGCGTCACGCACCAGGCTACGCCAGACGTGGGGGTGGAGAAGCGGCGGACACGTCATCGTCCCACCACAAGATTGTTGCAGTCAGGGCCTGTGTGACAGTCGCCGTCATCACGTGTCAGACGATGAAGGCTGCCATCAGCTGAGACAGTGGGAAAGTTATCCAGGGCAGAGATGTCATAATTCGCAAGGCAGAGCCTCGTGGCCGCTGGCTACAGACACCGCCTCCAAGTACGGTTGGGAGCTCGGACACCACTCCCGCTCGGGAGCCGTCGCTGACCTCTACCAGAGGGAAGGACTCACAGACTCTTCCTCAGCCCTGCTCCTGTTCTGTAAATCCAAGCAAACCTAGCTTCCTCCTTAAAGGGTTTTTGGTGGAAAAGTGAAACATTCAAAATAATCGTTAGGCATTATGAATCATAGTTCATAGAATCCCAGGACAGTTTGGGTTGGAAGGGACCTTAAAGACCATCCAGTCCCACCCCCCTGCCATGGGCAGGGACACCTTCCACTAGGCCAGGTTGCTCCAAGCCTCGTCCAGCCTGGCTTTATCTCACAGTCCACTTTTATTTCGGATGAATGCTAGAGATGGGAGCGTTTGTGGCTATCTTCTGACATCCTGAAGCTGAGTTCAAACAGCAGCCTGTGACTGCCTGAGCTGAAAAAGTGGTAGGATCCTTTGGCACAGAAACCATTCAGCGCTGGAGAGGATCCAATTCAGCTGGAACTGCTGTCTCTCGTCTAACTCGGGGAATTCTCTTCCGCAGCTGATATTTTGTCTTTCATTCTCTTCTGGCGTCAGTGCCTTTCCCACAGATCCAGTGTGCTGCAGTAGGATGTTCACTTGGCTGGAGGCCATTACAACTGTGCGGGAAACAAACAAGAAAGCAGCCACCTTCTCTGCTCTTTTCCCCAGGGATACAGGAGTTTAGGAGAGGAACATTTGATCCAGTCTCACAGCAACTTCTGCGAGGCCTGGGCACACCCACAGATGGACACAAACTGGGGTATCTTTAAAGAGTCTTAAAAATTGCCTTCAACTGGGTTTGGTGTGTGAGTAGAGACTATGACCAAAGCGAGCATTTTAGAAAGCAGATGCCAGCATTCTGCAGACCCTGGGAGAGGGAGATTTCGGCAGCAGTAGGTTATTGTACCTTTGAAATCAAACTTTGTGGGGGCACTGCCTTATATTCTACGCTTCTCTTTTTAGGCAGAGACAGCTTCCTGTAGGTGGTGGTTATGGCTGCGATTTACCAGGCAGTGTATAGAAGAGCCTCCTCTCTCTTCTGCAGGTCACACTCTACCTATGTTAGAAAAATGAGGTAAGTTCTCCTCTGGTTCTTGTGTACAGCGAGAAGAGCGGAGTTTGGCTCCCGTGTCCACTGTCACAAGCAGCCCAACCTAAATCTAACCCAGGGGTTAATCTTTTAACTGTTGTGAGCTCTGTAAATGGTAACAGTCACAATCTCTCCACTCCCTTCACCGCTGATAAGAACTGGTTCTCTCAGGCTGAAGCTCCGTTAATGAATGCCTATGCTTGCTGCCCTAGCTAAAGATCTTTTAAAATACAAGGCAGGCTTGAAGCGATGCTGCTCGCCTCGTTTTAAATACTACTTCAGTCTGAAAAGCATGTCCTGACACTCCTTTTCCAGTGATTGCTTTTCCTCATTCAGGCCCTGGCCAGCTGGGCCCTCAGAGTTCAGCTTGGCCTTTACCCCTGTCAGTGTGACAGGCAGAACGTACCCTGCAGTAAGGCCTGCGGCCCGATGGGACGTCTGTTCAACATCTGAAGTGCTCAGTAGCCTTGCCAAACAGGTCTTGGAGCCATCCAGGCTGGGGGGATAAAAGGGAAGATCAAGGTTTCCCTGCACACAAATGGTCGTGGCTACAAAGCCAGACCTCTTGGATTAAGAGACTGGGTTACTGATCTTCTCAATGTCCAAGACTTGAGGCTGCCTGTGTGGTAGTAAGAATTGCAGTATTTTCTGCCACACGGCACCTTCGCTAGAGGCTACAGCCCACCAAAGAGTAGACTCGGCTGTCAAAACCTCCAGAAGCATGTGGGATACATAAAATCTGTACTGTCCGTTCAGGCCCCAAAATCAGTGCGTCCAAATAAGCGGAACACGGGTAATCTCCATGTGATCTTGAATTCATCTTCCCAATTCTCTTCTCACTGCAGATACTTAAATGAGCTAAAGGAAGAAGATAACCTTTGTAGACAAGCCCAGACCTCAGGAACCTTCTATCTCTTTCACAATCTCTCCCCCTTCCTGCAGAAAGTTGGGAAGAAATATTTGGTACCACAGCTCGGTGCAGCAGGTAAGCAGGTGACCGGAAAGCAACAGCTCCAGGGTCACACAGCTGCAATGATACGGAGTCATTTGCAATAGGAAACCCCTTACACGGAGGCTGAAAATCGATGAAGCTGTGCAGGAACATCCTGCCCTGTGCAGCATGCTCTTTGCTAACAACCAAAGACTATTTAAACCGTGGCATGCGGACACAAGCGCTTCACGCACACACAGTATCAACATACACCTGATGTGTCTTGAGATGATTGCTTGAAATGTTTGGGACCGTGCCTTTTGAAGAGAAAGGGCTGGCAGGAAAACAGGCAAGGTCTAAACCTAACACAGGTTATTTGGCGTAACGCAGGAAGAGAAAGAGGTAATGGCTGGTGTAGGACAGAAACAGAACGGACAGCTGCTCCCCAGGGGTTAAAACATTTGCATCTTTACCTTGACATGGTCTAAGCTCCCAACAGCCAGGAGGAAAGCCAGACCCTTGCTATCCATCCAGATGGGACTGCTTGTCCAGTCCCCTCTCTCACTTGAGTGCCCTGCCTTGAGCCAAGATTGCATGTGCCTTGAAGATCCAGAGAGAGCATCACGGTTGTATGAATTTGCTTTCCTCACCGCTTTTTCTTCCCCTTTTCCCGGCTGTTTAGAGATGAAAAGGACCCTGGAGAAATTCAAAGAGACTGAGCAGTGGATAGAGAAGTCGGTGCTGATCGGTTGTTCAGACGAGCACGTACCACGCTTTGCCCTGGATTTAGGTTGGGATGACTCCTCTTCCATCCGCGTCAGTGTCGCGTTTGATGCGCCAAGATGAAGATGTGCCTAGGCAGCACCCCCCGTCCTTGCTGGGGGAACGCTGGCTGCCAAAGGGACTCGGTTGAGTCTCTGTGGGAGCTGCCGTGCGCGTGGTGGGTCAGAGCCTGTGTTAGTAAAGGTGGGCTGTTGGCAGGTCACTTAACATTTGGGAATATAACCACTGGTGTGATGTCACTTCCACGGGAACTTCCAGAAATTGTATACCGGAACAATGAAGGGCGTAAAGTTGGGATAATAACTGCAATTTATGAGATCAAAGATTTTTTTGTTGCTGTTGTTTTTTTAAACAGGGCCCTTGGAGAAATCGGTCATTGAGTCGGAACTTGAGGGATCATTTACGGACTTACGAAAAGCTCTCTTCGTAGTGGATGAGAAGGATTCTCCTTTGCTGGCTTCGGTACTGTACAGGGTTTTTTTGTTTGAGAAGCTGCAATTTCTACCCCTTCTCCTTCTCTCCCACATTGTTCTATGATTTACTACGTATTGTGGACGTACCTAGTGTACACTTTCAGTGACCTGGGTACAAACACACTATAAATTACGGCAGTTTTCCCAGTTTTGTGATCCCAAAAGCAAGCTGCAACAGAAACAGACAAGTGGATTGAAAATGACAGCACCCATTAGTCGTTTAGCATCAACCTGCTCTATGTCTGGTGTGAACCACACCGGTCTTATCAGAAGTCACAGCAGGCCCAGTTTGTCCTCAGATTAACAACTACCAGGCACCAGTCTTCTGTAATCTTCTAGGCAAACTGAACTTCATGAACGAACTTGTAGATCTTCTCTCATTGCTGTTCTTTTAAAGCTACTCACTTATAAGCTGTCACTCTGCAGGTGCCATATGTTTGGAAGTCCTAAGAAAAGACCTGTGTGTGAAAAACAGCTGTCTTGACCCATAAGTAGAAACAGCTCATGTTTCTTTTCCTGCTCTCTAATGTTTGTGGTGCTTGGGTTATTTTTCAAGAAGGTATTTAGGGTTGGAGACTCCTTTGAATAGTTCATTTCCCATTATATCCCAATAAAGAACAACTCTTCCCCACCTCCCCTGAACATGCTCGAATTTGGGTGCTAAAGCAAGAAGCACGAAACACCACTGCAGAATCTGCTGGTTTTCAAAGCAGCGCCTGTACTTAATTTACCCTCCTAAGGCTTCCAGACATAATCCAAGTTTATCCACATGACCGCACGCTGGGGAGAAGACAGCAAAGCATCCCTCAGACTGCTCATCTCTTTGCCCCAGATACCGATAAGATTTGTGTTTCTCTCTTGGTGTTTGCAGGCCCAGTCCCTTCTCCGGTGGCACGATTCCCACCAGTACTGTAGCAAAACTGGGCAGCCCACTCAGAAGAACGTAGCGGGCAGCAAGCGTGTCTGCCATGCCAGCGGAATAACTTACTACCCACAGGTGAGCACCTGGACAGCAAAGGGAAGGGACACAGGGTCCCTGTGGTGACAAGCCCATGCTGCTGGGTCGCATGGAGGGGAGTAAAAGGCAGCAGGAGGGCTTTGCATGGGGCTGGGTACTTCAGTGTCCATCCAGCAACCCCCAGCCTGCTAGGAAAAGCAACAATTTGCACTTACTCATTTGGTCTGAACTCCTTGTTTTCCTTTTGGATGCATTTGCTAGATGTCTCCAGTGGTGATCACCCTGGTGTCTGATGGGACCCGGTGCCTCCTCGCACGCCAGCCCTCATTTCCCCAGGGGATGTTCACTGCTCTGTCAGGCTTCTGTGATGTGGGTAAGGAGGTCTCTGATCCAGCACGGTGGCCTCGGACATGCAGGGCTTGGGGGCAGAACCGTGGGACATCAAGCAAGCGCCGGTTCACGGAGGAGGGTGGGAACATAGGTGACATCAGGGAAAAACATAACGGCTCTGAATAGATCGGTGTTGCCACTCAGACAGAATTCAAAACAGCTGTATGTACCTGAAGGGAATGGGAATTATGGGCATGTATCCGTTGCTGTAGTCCCTGATAGTAAATACAGGTGTAAGACCCCCCAGGTTAGAACCCCACATACTTTTTTAGCCCATTTTGTGTCTAGTGCAGTCTAGCTTAAAAGAACTACAGCCCTCTTGTTACAGGAGGAAAAATGGCTTAAAAAGGGAAATTATGGAGAGGCAGCATTGTTCTGTCCACCAGCTGTATACAGACAAAGCCAAAACTGTCTCTGATGCTTCTGTTTAACAGACGTAAGCACTGTTGATGAATTTAATTGAGCATCCTGCTGACAAGTGTTTCCAGGTCAGCACAGTCGGAACTCCTGCGTGAGCGGTCGGGGCTGGAACACCTCAGAAATAAGTGTGCCTAGATTTTCCTTGCCCCGGTTTGCTGCCCTGAGGCCAGGCCACCCTCACCTAACGGTGGTTGCTTCTAGGTGAAAACGTGGAGGAGACAGTGCGGCGAGAGGTGGCAGAAGAGGTGGGCCTGGAGGTGGAGTCACTCTGGTACTCAGCTTCTCAGCACTGGCCCTTCCCCAGCAGCTGCTTAATGATAGCTTGTCACGTGTTGGTGAGAGCGCAGCAGGCCGAGGTGAGCAGGCTCCGCTTCCCCTGAGGCATTTCACTGCCGGCCTTACATGGTAAAATCTCTTTCGGTTCACAGACCATAGTTTGGAGAGCATCAGATCCTCTCCAGATGTTGTTTTCCATTGGTTTTCTCTACAGTGACGAACAAATTTCAAAATCATCGTTATCTTCTGTTGCAATGTGCCAGATTTTGCACAGACCACTATATAAATACAAGCCCATGGCCAAACACCCTGATGTTTTTCCTCTGGACTTTGCAGAGGAGGTACTCTCTAGTATTAGTATCATGTTCAGAATCCTAGAATGGTTTGGGTTGGAAGGGACCTTAAAGACCATCCAGTTCCAACCCCCCTGCCATGGGCAGGGACACCTTCCACTAGACCAGGTTGCTCCAAGCCTCATCCAGCCTGGCCTTGAATGCTTCCAGGGCTGTCATAGAACATGCAGATTCGTCCCTATTAATTGCTGTGGTCAGCCACTGGTACTTTGCAGGCCAGTACCATGATGGAATAGGGCTACCTGATCCGTCACTTCCCTAAGAAAACCAAGACAACAAAGCACTGGTGGGCAGTAATGTCCTTTCCTGTATTGGCACCAGTGCTTCATTCAGGCGTGGATAAAGCACTCTGGGCGTTCTAGCGCGGGATCTTTGTGGGATCAAGAACAAGCAAGAACAATGCTGCCCACGTTTAAATGTGATTTAAGGAATTGGTACTTTCTGAATTCTTTCCAGATCAGAATGAACAGCCTGGAACTAGAGGAAGCCCGCTGGTTTGGTCTGGAGGAAATTGTGGAGGGTCTGAAGCGAGAGCCCAGATCTTCAAAGCAAGAGGATGGTAGTTTTTTACCCTGGTTCCCTCCCAAACAAGCCATTGCTCACCAGCTGATTTGTGAGTGGGTTAAGTGCCAGACTTCCTGGCTGGCTTAGGCATGACTTCCTGAAGTCTCTGATTCTACCAGAACAACAAAAGTTCGAGACAAAAGCTTCCAAAGTTACTGAAGGCAAAGTCTGTGTTACAGCGAGGATAGCACCAGCCTGGTGGCAGTCTTACACTCAGATACAGAGACCTACAAAGCCGTTTCTAAACTGATCATCCTCGAACAATTCCATGTACGCTGGATCACCTTTGAGATCCCATGACTTGCAGTAAACGTACAATAAAATTCTTAGTCTCAGAGCATCAAAGTTATTGTGACCAGCTGCTGCTGGTGCCCAGCAAGCAAGAGAACGGTAAGACACTTGCACCTGTGTCCCATTTTCCTCCATTTTATCTATCTTGGATGGATATCGAATGCACCATTTTTCCAGGAAAAAAAAAAAAAAAAAAGGACAGCAGCACCTTTCAGCGTTCATGTTTATATGGATCTGGGAGAACTATCCAAAGACCAGAAGAAAAGCCACTGCCTGCATGCTCTCCCCTTCTTGTGTTTCCCTTCCCACTCAACCGTCTAGTTTCATATAAAACATGTTTTTTTCTTTTTTTGCCAACATTGAGCTATGACTTTGCTGATATATCTGAGCAACAAAAAACATCTCTAGAGGCAGTTTTCCCCACCAGTAAGGCAGTGTTACTTCCATCCCACAGAAGAGAGAACAGAGCTATCTGGTGGTAGAGCGCGGAAGAGCAAAACCTACATCTAAGCATATGAGAAGAACCCAGGTAATGCAAAGGTGAGAGGAAACCCAGGTAATGCAAAGGTGAGAGGAAACCCAGGTAATGCAAAGGTGAGAGGAACTGTGAGTAATGCAGGAAAGCCAGATAATGCAAGAGGGGAGTGCACTGTCAACAGAGACAAATCTCTAAAGGCACAATGCTGCTTACCCGGGGCCAAAAGCCTGAGGCTTGCTTGGGGAGCTGGTCTGATACTGCTGAATTGGTATCACTTGAGGGAAAGCAACAGAGAGATTCTGGGTGAGGAAAGTTTAGTGAAAGAGAAGGAGGGATGTTTGATCTTCAGGCTGACAGTCCTTTCTGCCTGCTTGGTCAGAGTTCACATGCCAGGACTGCAAAGCCATCAGTACAGGTACTCCAAGGAGGGTCAGGAATGTATCCTTGACTGCCACCATTAAGATTATTTGCTGCTGAAAGGCCTTTTCAGCTGTGGTAAAAATCTGGAGTGTGACACCTGAGCAGTAAGTAGAACAGGCACGTTGTCACACCACTGAGACATGCTTTGTTTCTTCAGGTTAATTTTACTTTAGAAGGTTGGGAGGGGATTCTTTCAGGCCATGGTGGCATGTGCAAACACCTTTCCCACCCTCACTCACTCTCGGTCAATAAAACCCATGTGTCGGAGCATGTCTTTCACGTTTGTGCTCTCCATCTGTCAGTCACCCTGCTAAGAACACACACTGGTACAGCCAAGGGCATTGCTTCCCCCCCTCCAGCCCCGCCAGACACACAGGAGCCCACACACCACTGAACTGACCTGCAATGCTCCTGCATCCCGTTTCCTCTGAAACATGTCTGATGCCTCTCTTCACAGTAGTTGCTCCTGCTTTCTCCCCCATCATACCATTTCAATTCCCCAGCATTTCTCTCTTCCTCTCTCATCTCTGGAATCTGCCATTTTCAGCCTCACTCCTTTCTTCCCCATCTCTGCAGTAGAACATACTGAAGAGTCAGATTACCTGCCAGCAACATAATTCCCGCTTCTCATCCTTCTTCCTACCTCTCCCCCTAATGCCTTCCCAGCTTACCCTTACATAGCTCATCAGCGTGCCCCGAGCTTGCTTCCAGCATACAGCATCCAGAAAACGTAGCACATACGGCTGAGGGGAACGGCTGTGCGACTTCTGCGGGGAGGCACCACCAAGGCTCCGAGGTGTGGTGTGAGGCAGACTGGTCACAGGTGACGCGATCACTACCGCTGCCCCCCTGCTTGGTGCCGGTGGGGCAGACACTGCCCAGGCCGAGGCTGGTACATACCCACAGACTTCAGGACAACCCTTTGGCATTGCAGCCCATCATGTTCTCTGACTACGTTGGACTTTTTCAGATTTCATCAGTCACCGCCTGTTTTCTACAAGAAGAATATGAAAAGTAAACTAATTTCTCATTTGCTTGCTTCTGTTATTTGTGTTTTAAATCACAGTTGTAAAACTCTGCATGTTGCTTTTTACTATCAAAAAGAAAAAGAGTCTTTTCAATCTACTCAAATACCTTTTTTTTTTGGTAGAGCAAGAACTCCTCCAAGGCAATATTCCCATCACATCTTTTAAAGAGCCTCAGATTCAAAACTGTTTTATAAAATCCTTAATCCATTTCCATTTGACTTAGGTATGAAACAAAAAAATGGTGGCCTCTGTTCCTGATGTTAAGGAAGCAGGAATAATTACAGGCAATACACAGCTATGAACAGAACAGAAAAACAAGGTGAGAGAGACATTGTTCTCACTTGCATTTGCCTCAGAAATCTGTCTGAAGCCTGAATACTCCTCACTGCGGTCAAGATGGAACATGCTCCATAAAGGCAGGTGACCTGGAAAAAGAAACAGGCAGTTCCTGACACATGCTTCAGCAAAACACAGCAGGGCTTTTCCATGTAAAAAATACCAAGCAGGTAAAAGGGCTGTAGCAACACATTTCTCCCAAAACAATGTCCGTTAAATGAATCATCTCTGGGGACACTTGGCTTGTATAAATCACTGAGACTCCACTGCCTTCAGAGACTGCGAGGGCTCGGGACGTAGAGTGAGACCTACCGCTGAAAAGCGGTCGGCCTGCGGCATTACATCCCAGTTGTTTACAAATCACTTCACCTCAAAACTCGCTCTGAGACACGGCGGATGCATGCTGAATCTGATGTTTAGCCTGAGAGGACATGAGCACTCAGTAGAATGCCCTGACAACATCACAGCGTCAAAGTCGTTTTTCAGGTAACTCTGAAAAAACTCCTGCAGCTGCCAGGGACAGGTTGTCACAACAACTGGTAGTTACACAAATACAATTCCAGGAGCCTGAAGCACTCCTGAAATGAATTCAGCCTTCAGTTCCCCTGTGAATGGCCTTGCGATGCAGGTAAGGTTAGTAACCCTGACTAGTTAAAAAAAAAGGTCTGGTCTAATCTAGATTAGCATCACTGCAGTCATTGGGTATCATGACTCCTTTTTCCCATCAAAGTATAAAGTCTTTACTGGAAATATCTAATTTTCTGCCTTCTACCTGCACGTGCAGTCAAGTCACCCACCTATTTTTTTCTGAATAAACTGAGCTTTACATTCATGTTAGCGTTGCTCTTCACTTCCATTCCTGTATGCTTGCAAAACTGTGAATATCCATCTGGGAGCACTGACCCACTTAAGCACAGGCTCTATTCCAAACAGCAATCCACACTTCACACAGGAGTAACACACCATGTGATATTCTTCTGCCTCCATTACTTGGCTTCCCAGATACGGGTTCACACCAGAAACCTGCAAGTTGTTCATGACGGCCTTTTCCACAACACTGCACTCCACGAGGCAGTTTCCTAGCCCGGAAGCATAACCAGCAGGTATTCCTACATCTGCCTATCCTATTTCAACAGGACAAGTTGTTACTGTAAGAATTCAAACACAAGATAAACTGAACCATGACCACAACAGCCATCTGTTCTTTGCATTGAAAGCACAGTTTTGCTGTTGAATTAATTATCCATTATTGACACCTTGAATCTGTAACAGGAGACCTTCTCCATCCTCACGAGGTGAACAACACACTTGATACACATCAGCTAAGGTGATGTTTGAGGCTTCACAGCCCTCACTTTTCATATTCTTGAGAAATCCACCTTTTTCCATAGATCCATATTCTGCTGTTTAGGCTGAGAACCCCAACTGCCCTCCATGGTGATATTTTCTCAGGGGAATAAACAAAGTTGGAAAAAAGAAGCAAGTTTCCATCGCAGACCTGCCAGAACAGATGCTCTCATGTCCCATTCCAAAGACGAAGACAGCAAGAGGGAGGGCAGCTGTCGCTGCAGCCTTCACAGCATCCCAAGGGATCCCGAGGTGGTACAAAGGGCCTGTCCTGACTCCTGCTGCTATTAAAAACAAAATCCAGTTTCTCAGGTGAGCTAGACAAGTAGCTACAGCAAGAGCTGAGCAAACATTCATAAAAAATACTTTTCCAGCCCTGCAACTGACACATCCCGTGAAGGTAACCGTTACTCCTCCTACACTGCAGTAGCAAGGAAAGGCAGGAGGGAAGCATCGTGCAGGGAGGTGATCTTCCACGGCAACAGAGGAGGCCGACATCCACTTACATGACCAGGATGCTGAAAACAGTTTATCCACAGGAGGTCCACGTAGCACAGGGACTTTAAATAGCAGGTTGTATCACTGACCCAGATTGCACCTGAACACAGCTAGCTGCAGATAAATCCCCTTCCTCCTGAGCCACACCTCCTCCCCCCTGACCAGACGGGTTGGACTCAGCTGAAAACACAGCTGGCCTGCGGCCAACTACACGCCCTCCATCACCACAAGGGGAACCAAGACCCTCTTTCTTAGGCCCCTCACATTCCATGCAAGAGCTTTAACAAGTTAAAGCCCTCTACTGTCTCCTGGGATTGGTTTCAACCCCGTATGTGGCAGATGAAAGAACCCTTACTTGTTTTCTTCCTTGAAACATACCAGTCAACAACGACGCCGTTCAGAACTGGGGCTACAGGGGTCAAGCCAAAACAAGGAAACTACATTTCTGGAAGGGTCAGAAGGGCTAGGATGAGCAAGGCTGTGCAAAAGGCAGATGCTCAAGTGAGCAAAGGGAATAAACTCTGCTGGAATGCAGTTCTAGCTAAACTCATTTTGAATATAATGGAAACTCTGATAGCAATCCCTTGAAAGGGAACCACACTGCACTTGTCTTACCTAATTAACTCCACCAGACCTCCTTCACTAAAAATACTCTCTTTCAAAATTAAAAGCAGAATCCCCTCATATGTTACTTCAAAGCGGCGGAAGAGACAGCATGGAAATGCTTATTCTTCGATGGCAAATTCTCTTGTGAGCAATTTCAGAGTCTCGAAGGCCTCCACTGTGAAGCTGCTAAACAAATGTAAACAGTTGGAGTAAGTCCAGCCCCACAGAATTAACAGTCCAACTGATGGAAAAGTGAGATTACCTAAGAAACCAGATGAGCTGAAGCGCTTCCGGAAGAGCAGCATTGTTCTGAACACTGGCTTCGAAGCTTTCTTCACATACTACACCAGAAGAGCCTTTTGACCTATTTGGACTGCATAGTACATGTCACAAGAGTTTAAGGTGATCACATTCTTGCAACTACATTACTTTTTAAAGTATCAAAACTTGATCTAACAACTCACCAGCAGAGAATTTTATGTAGCTTCCGTGCTAATTACCTTCCCTGTTAAAACACAAACGCTGTTTAAGGTTCAAGTACATCTTTTTTCCACCAGTAACTGCTGGTTATCCTTGTCTGCTAGATCCAAGACCTCCTGTTACCCTAATTTTTCCAGTGCACATTTGTCTAACTCAATCCCATTCCACCTCACCTCTCTGCAATCCAAACTCCTTGAACTTTAGTGGTATCTTTATATTTCCTAATCCTTGTTGTCTGTCTCTAATCCCTGTCCAATCTGGCAGTATTCTCCCACACGCTTCATCCACATTCATTCAATGCATTCACGTAAGGAATCTCCAATGTTTCTGATACTGTCCTGGAACGTTTTACAAGGTATCTGTCATCTGCAAAAACAAAAATTTGGGAAAAAAAACCCCAGCCATGAGCGTGGATCAGGAGGGAACTCAGCAAGCAAGCATTCGCTGTACGTTCTCAAAGTCTCACAAATTTCAGCGAAACTACGCCAATGTGTGACTTCCCAAGCATTGGTCAAACTCAGTTGGCCGATGCTGAAGCTCATAATCCAGCAAGTGTCCAAGTCCTACACGGAAACAACTTTTGCCACATTCTGCTTTGTCAGTTAATGCCAACCCTTATCATGTAAAAAAATTAAACCAAGGACTTGAACTAAATGGACTGCAAACTTTGAGACAAATAAAATAAAATAAATAAAATTCAGGCCTTTAAAAGCAATTAGGTATGCCTTCAGGATCAATCAGGCTTTTGTATCATTGAATACTATTTTTCTGAATATGTTAAATAAAAAAAAAAAAAAAAAAAAAACACAAAGAAAACCCCCTCAACCCATGAGCTTCTCTTCTACCAGTTAAGACACTTAAGTGTTGTGCGGAAGAAGAAAAATAAAGCAAAGTCCTGTAGAAACCAATTCAGATCTGGCAGGACGGTGTTCCTGCTGTCTGTACATCAAGAATTTCTGCATATTTTATTTCAAATTTATGTTGTTAAAACTAAATCTTTATAGCTAGAATCGATTTTTCTAGATTGCATGTGAAAGCAGCATGCTGAACGCCTTCTAGCTACATTTGCACTGAAAACCAAAACTAAACTGTTCAGACTGTGCTCATATACAGCTACTGCTGGCACGATACCAAGACTCAGCAACAACGGAATTCAGAAAATGTCCAATTACAAACATGCTTTAACTCCAAGAACTTCTGAGGAACCACTGAGGAAGTTACGCATACCTTCAAATAAAAAATCTCCAGTAATGAAATTGTACTTCTGCTTTTATTTAAATAAATTCAAAAATACTTCTAGCCAATATTTACATATTCAACCCAATTACTCTTCAAATCCTCACGGTTAATAAAGAGCAGATTTTTGCAGTAATTATCAGAAGTTCCTGCAACGAAGCACTGTGCTTTTGGAAAAGCGATTGTCTGCTGAACATTCAGCCAGCATTCCCAAATCCACAAGAGAACACGGTTTCTGTAATACAGTATTCCTCCACCTTCCCCTGAAGGCAGGAGCATTTTCAGGACATGCACTGCTTTCCAGATACTGAAACCACCTGGTAATGGGTAAAAGAACACTTTAGAAATACATCAAATTGGATCGTTGATTTGAAAAACCAAAGACAGGTTTTATAATAAAAGTTTCATTCGTGTCGCATCAGTCTTCTGGAAACATGTTTGCGCTAGAAAAATCCGATTTCTATCCAAGATAATATCCAAACAGACGGCTTTTGCAGGTAAATTGACTTTGCTTCTTTAAAGTCACACCTAACTGATGAGTAAAATGCTTTAAAGTCAAACCTTTTGTCCCATCTTCCAAACATTCTAGCCTTTCTGTGCTTCGTTTCTCGATCAGCCACGCCTTCTGAATTAGACAGTCCTTTACTCTGTCGCTCCCTTGCTGGCGCCAATACGATCTGCATTTGCAGGTAAATACACTCCCATGCTCTGTAAAATGTTAGAGGCGGGCCCGGCCAGCCCGGACTGTGCACTGTAGGATTCAAGCAGGTTAGCCACTAGGTTCGTATCCACATCGACTGGTGTCAACTCGGCGTCTTCTGCTCCAGAATCAGGGCCAGCGTTTTGAGAAGTCGTTGCATTACCAAAACTTGCCTATGGTTACGTATAAAGAGAAAGTTTTATCAAATTGTATAAACGGGTTTAAAAAAAAATAATTTAAAAGAAGACACACCACAAGAGAAAAGAAACAGGGAAACAGCTCTGCAGCCAACAAAGTTCAGTACGTTCCACACTGTCTCGACAGACAGGTATTTAGTCACCAAATGCTCATGCCAGTTAAAAATCACCACTTTCCATCATACAGATTAAGTGCCAAGGGACGGACAGGGAGGGGGTTCCTGAGTCCTGGCTCAGTTTCCTACGGGAGTAATCTACCACGGGAACTCCAGGAGTCAAGCTGCAGCTGCTTTCATTACTACTAAAACAGGGAAGGGAAACTGTCCTGGAAATGATGTGCAACTTAAAGCTCAACGAAATTTTGGTTGGGTTTTTTCTTCGTTTGGGGTTTCTACTTTGTTTTGGTGATATTTTTGGTTTTTTTAGCATATTTCCTCTTTCCAACTAAATCTCTCAAAACTACTGTGCTACAAACTAGCGCTCAAGCCATACTTACCCCTTTCTTTTGGGTTGTGAAACTTTTACCAACATTGGTATGTGCCAGTTCCCTGTCCATCTCGTCCATGTATGACTTCAGACTGCCTATGAGCTCATTAGGTGATGCCTCCTCGTCTTGCCCTTGATTTTCAGCATCTAAGTCATCATCATCCTCATCCAAGAAGTCAAACTCCTCCTCTTCATCCAGATCATCAGAATCCAGCTCTTCAGAGTCTGGCCCTAGGTATTATTTTGTGTCAGTACAGATAGCAAACATATCAACAGGGTGCCCATGGGTGATCAGAAAACCCAGGGAAGCTAAATAACCAGGAGATATCCTGGCAAAAGAACCAAAGAGGCAATCTCACCTAAAATTCTGTCTAAGGCTTTTGTAAAAGAATCTACGTCAAAGGTAACATGGGATTCATCAGATGACCTGAAACAAAAATATTTTTAAATAAAGTTGTTATGCTTGCATAAGCCTGACACGGGCATAAACCACATGGCATACTGATTTCTCTCAAGCCTACATTAAAGTTGGGACATTTGAACTGATGGTCTTAAAAGTCTGAGGCCTGTATGAATTAGACATGAGACGGCAAGTGGAAGAGCTGGCATAAAGGAGAAAAGAAAACCAACAACTTTGTCTGTCAAACAAAAATTGCACTACAGGCAACTAAAACAACGATGCCTAAGTCCTGGAACAATGTGGTGGTGTTATACCTCAGACAAAGATTTTAAAAGCTGAGAATCTCTGAGGTCTCCTGCCTAGAAAGAACACTAGAGGTTTCATTCTGATCTCTTGTAGGGCTTGGTGATTTGCCTCTTTTCTTTTGTTTTTTTTAAATAACTGAAAAAAACTCTGACATTGACACTAGCAGTAATTAAAAAGGATCAAACAGTTATGAGCATAAATTGAGTAGATCCTTATACGCTTGATGCAGCTTACACAGCATCATTTTCTCAGTATTAAAGCTATGAAAAAGAACCTGGGCAATATGCTACTACCTAACTCTCGTTTTTTCAAGTGAAAGGCCTGCCCACATAATAGTCACACACACTTTCTTAACTCCAACAATAGTGGCAGTCTGCTGCTGCCTGTATCTTCAGTTAGCACTTCTCTTTCACTGCTGGGAACAATGAGAGGGATCCGCAGTAATTCTTTTCACCCGCTTCTAGGTGGTCAGTAAGTGCTTCAGCAGTGCAAAACCAGGCCCAGAATATTCAAAATACTCACCTACAGGAAGTCTAAACACAGCTGTACCGCAAAAATCAGCAGTCCTAATTCACAGATTCCCTCAACTTGAGTTGCATTATTATCTCTGTACAGCCTCATCACAAGCATTTCAGCACATCCTCACAGTAGAAAAATCTCAGCACAAATTAACTTGAGGTGTACATTTTAATAACAGTGTTAACTACGGTAATGAACAACAGTAAGCCTTCAACTTAAAAGGGTCCAAAAAACATTTAAAAACCACAGAACCAAACTAAGTAAGAGTGCTGGAAAACGGTACAACTTCCTGTACCATTTTACCTGCACCAGTGTCAGAGCGGTCACTAAGCTGGTTTAAAAGCAACTAGTAGAACCCTTCGAAACTTCGATTCTCTGCATTACAGAATCGACCAAAGGACTGCAGGAGAATGAAAACAGAGTCTACACCAGACACCGAACTCAACAATACTCCTACCATGGCATTTCTGCTCCTTCATGCGTTGAGACTTTGGATACAAAAGCCTTCATACTTTCAGCAACTGCTTCCAAGTCGTATTTCTGCTCCTCCTCATTTGAGGAAAGAAAGGACTCATTTCTTGTCTCCTTCAGCATCTGATCTAGATCAGCCGGTGTAATCTCCAGCCAACTGTCATCTGAAAGAATACAGGACACACTTGTTATTCTGCCCAAGTCTGTTCGCCCACAACTCCCAGTCCAGACGGTTGAGAGTACTACTAGCTTTTTGTAGCTTACTTTTGTACTATTAAGTTTTCATGCTTATACTGGATAACACAGGGTATAAAGCACTGAGGGGTCGGGGAGTTCAGATTTCATTTTACTACTCTAAAATTCTGTTTTATATGTAGCCTCAAACTAGCAGATATTGTTCTCGTCACAGATAATCCTTCTGCCACTAAATGAAGGAAGAAAAGATTAACACTATAAAGGGAGAGCAGATCCAACCTGCCACTGTGATCATTAACACCACTGCATTTGTGAACTACCGCATCATTCAGAAATCCAGACGTGACCTGTTCTGCACACTGGCAACAACTGTATTTCTGTCAAATGAGTGAAAAAAGACTATCGTATAAAGGTTATGCTGGTCTTACGTTGCCTATCAGAGTAGACCAAATAGAAATTTTGTATTGTCAGTATTGGAATTGGTTTATTATTATAAAAATGTTTAAATGCTTTCTGTCTGGTAGACAGTTGACACAAAGTACTTGATCCAATGCAAGTGTGTATGGTGTTCCTGATCTAGTGATATCCAGCCAGAAAGTGGAGAGCATATCTTGCCAATTCACAGCCCCAAGCTTTGTGGTATATACAAATGAACTGGTTGCCTCAGTCTGAAATGATGGCCCATCAGTAACACCTCTAGAAGGCACAGGATAGGAGAGAAACTAAATAGATACAGAGACTAGTACAGCGCTCTGAACATTCACCCTCTTCCCCCACCAATAATCATTTGTGACTGGAAGAGTCTATGCCCCCATCCTGCTCACCATCCTCTGGAGGAAGACAAGCTGCTTCTCTCTCAAATTCCTTCAAATCAATGGTTGTTGTCCGTAGCAATGTCAAGATTTCATCGCCTGGGCTCACTTCGACAGAGCTAGAATGAAAAAATTTGATTTACTGAAATGGATTTTACTAGCATCACGATGCCAATGGCATCACGCACTCTACATGCAGGTTTTCGCTCAAATTCTTCAGTATTCCTTCCATGCAAATACATCAAAAAGATGTGAATTTTAGGGAAGTACCAGAATACTACACAGAGAGTGTTCACCAGAACAAGACACAGTCAATTACTGCAATCCCTTGTGGATGGCTCCAAAGCCTGTTTCTCATGTTTCCTTTGTTCTTTGTGGGGTTTTTTGCCTTGGTAAACATCAGGACTGCCAGATCCCAAGCAGCACAGACTGGAACTTCAACCAACTAACAGTTCAGATATTATGAGCTGGCAAACGCTCAGATATTTATGGAATTATTTATTTTTGGATTTGATCTCCTGGAGAAATCTACAGCCAGCTGCCTGTCTTGAGTAAAGGAGACAGATTACTCCATATTTATTATTCACTGGGATTGCTTTTCAATGAAACTTTCAAATGCTTACTGTAGCCAGCCAACCAAACGATGCTTTTCAGTCACCTCTTAACCCACTTGGAATAGCTTAATATTTTACAAAACCAAGATAAATAGTTACTCAAGCAGTAAGTTCTACTAGTAGAGAGTATTCTAGAGGAACTAATGCCCATATGTCCTAGCCACAGCACCTATCTTAAGTGTACAGTGGAGAAAAGGGTCCATGTTTTTTTGTAACACGTGTTAAAAAACCTTAGTAAAGTACATACAGTGTATGATTACTCATGGATTTCAAGTAGCCCTTACCTTTCTGGCTTGGCAACAGATTGCCTGAAATAGTCTTCTGCCATATGCAACCGTTGCGTGTACTTCACAGATCCTTCCATTTCTCCCTGTTAAATGCAAGTCACAAATACGAACCTAAACAACTCTCCCTGCCCTTCCTTTTCACAGTCAGGCTGCATAACGGTGCCTACCTCACACAGAAATGTAGTGCTGAGAAAATCAAACCAAGTAATTGCAGCACATGCTTGAAACAGAATACAGGAAATGGGCATAAGGTGCTTTCACGGTCAGGTATGAAGACTTACGCCACAACCATATGTGGTACACTAAAAGCAACCACAGGCAATACTACGATTCCCACAACAGGGTGGATTTACCATGCCCAGGTTACAGTCGTACAGGAACTGTGAATAAATCTCCTGGTGTTTGGGAATTATCCACAGAAGTGGCACTGCAGTATTGTAAGAATATTCCCCTTTTCCTACATTAACCTAAGCATTTTGATAGAGTTGTCTAATTTTATAAACTTCAAATAAGTAGTCAAAGGTATCTTTAAAAAAAAAAACCAACCCCATAATTAGAAAACAAAACCCACAAAAAAAACCAAACAAAAAATACACTTACATGGGTTCATGGGTGTTTAGTACAGATCTTTAAGAATGTTTAATTCTAGAGCTATGCAAATCAAAGGTAAAACAGTGAAAAGTTATACTGACACGTAACCACACTGTGGTTTCCTTAATTTAACTGTATTCCCCTCTCTTTAGATAAATTAATTCATGCCCAAATCCTGCTTTTTCCTTTTGTAATTTCCAAAATAAATTGATTTTGAAGTAGAACAAAGTCCTTTAAAAGACAGTCATTCATTCTGCATAGACAGAAGGATTAGATTTCTTGTCCCGCTGTAACTACTTGCACAAGTTCACGAGCTAAAACATGTTTTTCCTGGAACTTCTAAAGGACACACACACACAGCTTCACCTTGAAATAATTTTTTTCCTTCAGGCTGCTGAGGAATCTCTCCCACAAGGGACCGCTTAACATACTTCTCTTGGAATCAGGAGATACTTTACTGCACTTGGAGCACAAAATTTCAAAGCCGTGAGCCTGTAGAAGAGACGCAACAAGAGGTTCTTGAGGTGTGACAAATTTAAGTGCACCTTGAAACGACTGCATAAAGAACCCACTGTCCTCGAACTCCTGATGCTGCCATTTGAGAAGCAGGTGCCAAAGCAAATTTTATGTCAGGCAGCAGTATCTTGCTTTGGAAGTTGGAATCTGTCTTTCTAAAGCAATAATGGATCATTCTGATCTTGTGAAGTGTATCTACATGGGCAAGTCACCCCAAATCAACCTAGAAAACAGATCTATGGCACACAAGCTACTCCTCACATAAGCATGAAGAACTTCCATGTATCTATAACACATGCTGAACTGCAAACTTGCCTGGCCTGCGCATTTTGTGGGTGCAAAGTGGCTGCACTGAGGCCTAAGTTTCAGGAGAGCAAATTTCAGAAGAGAACACTCAGATTCTTTGTTTTTATTTGCAGCAAGATCCCAGGGCACACTGTGACCGGCTTCCTTTCTGCCCTTCAAACAGCCAAATCCCCTTTGCCCCCACCTCAGATGTTGCCTACGACCAAGGTAGCTGTAACTGTACTGCAACTGTAGGCAGTCAAGATTGCTTAATCAGTCCTGAGGCATTTGTAGCTTTGATGCACACTAAGTTTGGAGTAGGCAGAGCTCTAAACTGAAATGCAAATTTAGTCCTCAGAAACTTCTCTGTGTGCAAATGCCAAAAACAGCAACTCAGAACATGATGGGATGCGCTGCTTCAGCCAGAGGCTAAAACAGAACTCATCTATCCCAAGATGGAAACTATTTCCCATATTGCTTAAGGGAAAATTAACTGGGTTTGGTACCAGTTCAGCTGCAGTACTACAAACATGTAAATCCCGGTTGGGATAGTTTAAAGGGGTGGAAGTGCAAGAGTGCTCTAATGTGTAAAAGAAAACTCCCATGACGCTGTATTTCCAGAAAAACAGTAATTGCGAATTTGCTCACATTTTTCTGCACAAGCAGACAATTTAAAAGCAAAGAGACATTTCTCAGACGTCTATAAACAAGCAAACTGAACAGACTAGGTACAAAACGCATAAAAAATAATCACCAGTTTCATTCCCAATTCATAGGCTTTGTACTGAGGGTGAGATGGGAGGGGCAGTGTGTATCCACTTCGCCTGTCTGGAACAAACTTCTGCTGCACCAGTTGCGCATATAAACACTTTGTGAAAGTAACCTGAAAAAGCCAGAGCAAAAGAAAAACAGTCACTGAAGCGTGACTCTTGTGTACGTGCATCAACTTTCCACCAGTCTTCTCTACATTCTGTTTTAAAGCACCCAGATTACAGACAATGTCTGAGATTGTATTCAAATTACATCTTGGATACATTTGTCTAAGACACATTGCTTTTCAGATCCTATGAAGTATGTTCCAAGTTGACATAATATGAACTTCATTCAGTCTAAATACATTAAAAAATACTATTCAAGCCAACAAGGTATATTCTGAAAAACATAAGTGTTCTTTTTAATGAACGAAATCAAAGCTGAGATCCCAAAAACGGTCTCGAAGTCTACAATTTGACTCCCAAGCTTATTTTCCGGAGTCTAGGGGTACAACTCTAACACAAAGATCAGATACAACATTGCTTGGACGATGCTTATAAAACACTTCATAACCTCCATCAGTTCCAGAACCTAATTAAGTGACAAGTTGCATCAGAAGGCTCACTTACGATGGTCATCACACGCTCTTCTGGAGGGAAAGTTCGAAAAGTGCGACATGCTCGTAAATCCACTGGATCCCGCAGGTAAAAGGCCTGGACTGCTGCAGCCACCAATGAAGGGCGCTGCCTCAGCACTGCCACAATGCCTGCTGGAAGGTAGCAGTGAGCTCGGTGAAACGAGGCCTGAATTTTCTCAGGATACCTGTATCATACAACAGCAGCACAGCGTATTACGTGTATTGCAAGCCCACACCGCTCCTTTTGTTATTATCATTCCCAGTTTCATTTTAATATTAATCTATATCATGGAACAAGTGCCAGAAGGTTATTCTAAGCTGAAGTTAAAACACAGGTAATCTAACACCTCGAATGTCTGCTTACATATATATACACATATATATAAATGCACATGGCTAACAAACATTTAATCCCCACATTGGAATGATAAAGCACTGTGAATTTGACTAACACCGCACCGAGTGTAGAATTCATCTGGCTCACGCTGTCAAATCCTTGCCAATAAAAACCCAAACCATGGTGTGCTGAACACACCCGTGACAAGCTGACGCTCTGAAAAGCACGCTGGCTCTACACTTCAGTTTGCAATCCTCTTTCTCCCCGGAAAAAGGGCTTCTAAGGGCTCACAGAACTTTTTCAGTGCAAGAAGGATGCGAAGGGAGAGTAACCTGTTATTGTCAGGTGTGGCATCATAGCAGTGAACCACTTCCAGAGCCCCTGAGCAACACTTGCAGCCTACAGGACGTTGGTCCCCCTCTCTAGAAGAATGCCATAGAAAACCTCTACCTGCTGGTTTCTGAAAAGGGAGCAACTTTATCACACCTAACAGGAAAAAGATGAAATACAAGAAAGCACCCCAGACAGCCCAGAGTGAAAACTGGCTGTTGCAAAACACCGAAACAAACCACCCACATACCCGTCAATGCGTTTATACACTGCTGTTCTAATGGGTTCTGCAGCCAGGAACTCCTCCGAACGGGTGGATAACAGCGTTAGCGCCTGCGGGAGCGTTGGGCTGGCAGCGGATAGGTCACACTCCTGCTCGTGCGTCTCTGACAGCGGAATGATGTGCAGCTCTCCTTTGTAAAAGAACACCTGGCAAACAGTTACATTCCCATCAGATGGGATAAAGAGAGTCACACACTGAGCAACGCAGAATTTCATTTCTTACATGAATGTGTTTGTTTACACACAGAAAATACTGAGTACAAATAGAAAAATAATATAGGAAACAGCTGGGGTTTTGGTTTTGTTAGTTTGTTTTTAATGGGAGATAAGGTAAATACAGATGCCAGAGATCATGATCTAACCAGTAAATAAAAACTCCTATTTTAACTGCAACAAGTTTGGTCAAATGTATTTTGTTTCCATAATCACAGCAATACCAACAGTTTCTCTTCAACTAGAGATTTGCTTCAGGGGAATCAGACAGCGTAACCTAATGGCTGAAGAATGGGACAGGGACTAAAAAGCATGATTTCAGGTGCTACTCATGACCTCTGTTGGTTCCTTATCCCAAGAAAAGAACTGAATGTAATGTTATTAACTCTAATTCCATCCATTCCCTCAAACAGAAGGAAAATATGGTGCTGAGAGTCCAGACATAGGTTTGCAATTAATTTTTGTGTTGTGTTCCACCCCTTCTTTAAGTCTTGTGATAGATAAAAAAAAAAAAAGATAACACAAATCTTTGCTAATTAAAAAGTAAGTTCTTTGCACTTAAATCCATTGCCAAGAAGCTCAGTGGCACAGCTACTAGCAATCATCACCAGCAAGGTAATCTGGCTGCAGCCGTCAGGTAACGGAGTCCACTCCCTAATTCCCCTATGCCAGACCCATCTGTCTCCTTGCAGAGTCAGCAACACTCCAGCCTCGAGCATTCCCCAGTCTGAGGGCAGCAAATGCTCATGCCTGAGCCCTCCAGAGTATGGTAGAAAAAAATCCAAGTGGCTGTAGCAGAGCTGGAAAGCTCAGGCGGATCCAAAGAGTGCTCCTGAGAGGAGCAATATGGTGCATTTGTATTCCACCACTAAATGTATTCCATAGTTCCCATGTTGTCCAAGCTTCCCTGCACACCAATAACCTAGAAAATGGAAAGCTGGCCAAACTTAACCATTTTACAGATCAATCAATAGCAAGACAGCTTCACTGCCTTCACATTTGCCACCATAAGTAGTAAGGTTTAAAAAGGTCACTCAGGTCACTTATGAAACAACCCTTAAAGAATGATTTATGTGCAAGAGTCTGATCTAGCTGAACAACACAGACTCACAGCCTAGCAGGTAGGTCTCCATAGTTTTGCCATTAGCGTAAGAATGTATTAGTATGAAGAGCGTTCTCGTTCTTCCATCCATCAACAAACCGATTCTAGAAGAACCACTTGGTGTCTGTAACAATTTCCAGGTACCCCTACAGCAGTTTCTCAGGATACACCCTAAGCAGCCTACCGCACGGGCACACAGAACACAGTGCAGAATCAGAGGTTTCCAGTGGATAAGCCTCTCATGAGACGTCGACAGCAAGCATAAAGCAGCTCGTTAAAACCAGAATGAGAAAAGATCGTACTGAAAAAACACGTGCTGGTAATTAAAACAAGTCTCGAGCCCTGACCAGATGTTTCTTCGCTAGTAAGGGAGGGACAGCGCTCTGGATTTTCAGCGGCACACCACCTGGCTAGGTAAGAGGAGCAAGACAAAACTCAAGGTGCTAAGTAAACGGCCACTGTGAGCCACCTCCCGACTGGCACCGAAGTTTCACTCACCCTGTTGTCGCTATTCTCAGGATTCAGCCACTCTGGGAGAAAATCGGCTGCTTCTATCAAGAGAAACTCCCCATCGCTGTCATCGATCCTGGCCAAGGAGAAACCGGTGTTTTACTCGGGAAACTAGCACAGCACAGTAACGAACGCTTCTAAATGCGCATCTGGGGTTGGGGTTTTTTCGTTAATAAAGACACGACATTCCAGTGCCCCTGTCAGGAAAGGCGCTGCCCCTTCCCGCCCCCGCC